TCTCCTACTTGGGCGGCCGCGCCAAGCGCAGAGGCCGCGGACGCTCCGGGGCCAGCGGCGCCTTCGGCTCGGGCCATGGCGCCCGGCGCCGGGGGCGCGAGGAGCGGCTCATCTAGTCAGACCCCCCACCCCGCCACCGCCACCGCCACCAGACACCACCATCGCTGTGTAGTGTGGGTTTTTATTCGTGTTCGTGTGTGTGTGTGGACACATTTTCCTTTTCGGTTGCTCTGTCCTTTGGTTCGTGCTCGCCTCGCTTTTTCCACACTCCTGCTCTCTGGCTCTCTGTGTCTCTCTCTCTTTCGAAAATTTTCCTAAGTCCGGGCGCGCACTCCCTCCCCTTCCGCCCACCCCGGCCCCTCGGCGGCGCCCGCGGGAGGGGGAGGAGGCCTCGGGGGCGCCGGGCGACGCGGTCCGGGGGGTGGAGCGTTGGCGTCGTGCGAGGGGTCGTCACTGGCGCGGAGACGCCCCCTCTCCCCCCTCGGCCCGGCCCGGCTGCGGCCCGAGCCTGGGGGGTGGGGGGCGTCTCCCTGGCCCGTCCCGTCCCCGGCCGGGCGCGGGCGGAGGGACCCCCTCCCCGGGCTCCCGGGGGGCCGCCTCCCTCCGCCGGCTCCCGCCCTCCCAGCCGCCGCCGCGGCCGCCGCGGCCGCTCCTCGGCCCTCCTCCTCCTCCTCCTCCTTCCACCCCCCTCGCCGCCGCCGCCTCCTCCTCCCCCCGCCTCCCCCCGCCCGCCGCGGCGCTTTTGGCTCGGGGCGGCGGCGGGGGCCCGGCCGAGGCAATAAGAGCGGCGGCGGCGGCAGCGGCGGCAGCAGCTCCCGCAGCTCCTGCTCTGGTCCGCCTCGGCCCGGCGGCGGCCATCAGCCCCCTCGGCCTCGGCTCGAGGGGCGGGGAGCTGCGCGCGCCCCTCGGTCCGACCGACACCACCCTCCCCTTCGCGCCCGTCCGCGCGCCCCGCGGCCCGCGGCCCGCAGTCCGCCCCGCGCGCTCCTTGCCGAGGAGCCGAGCCCGCGCCCGGCCCGCCCGCCCGGCGCTGCCCCGGCCCTCCCGGCCCGCGTGAGGCCGCCCGCGCCCGCCGCCGCCGCAGCCCGGCCGCGCCCCGCCGCCGCCGCCGCCGCCGCCGCCATGGGCTGCCTCGGGAACAGTAAGACCGAGGACCAGCGCAACGAGGAGAAGGCGCAGCGTGAGGCCAACAAAAAGATCGAGAAGCAGCTGCAGAAGGACAAGCAGGTCTACCGGGCCACGCACCGCCTGCTGCTGCTGGGTAAGGGCGGGCGGGGGGCGCCGGCCCCGGCCCGGGGGCCCCAGAGGGGCGCCCCGCAGGCCGCGCGCGCCGAGCCCGCCCCCCGCCCCGGGCGCGCGCTCCCGGGCCCCCTGCCCGTTCACGGGCTCTGTCTGTGGGGGGCGAGGCCGGAAGGGGGACCCCGGGGCGCGGATTCGGCCGGGCGGGGGCTCAAAAACGGGGCGGGGGGCCGTGGCGACGCGGGCGCGGGTCCCCCTCCCCCGGCCCGCCCGTTCTGTGTGTCTCTTGCTCTCGCTCTCGCTCTCTCCCTCTCTCTCTCTTTCTCTCTCTCTTTTTCCGCGAGGCCTACACGACGCCAGGGGTTTGGGTGCGTGTTGGGGAGGGGGAGGGGGAGGCCCATGGGGCTCCGGAGACTGCGACAAAAAGAGGGTTTCGGGGACAGGAAATCGGGTGGCGGGTAGAGGGAGGGGGACCCGCCTCCGTGGGGTGTGAGATTTGTTGGGAGAGGGAAAGGGGGAAGAAAGGGGCGAGGAGAGGAGGGGGTGACGCTGGGGGGCGCCGTGGTGGCGGAGGGGGCCTCGCCAAAGGGAGGCTTTGGCGGGGAGAAGTGGCCGAGGAGAGTGGGGGGGCTGGTGACATCAGCCCCTCGGAAAGGATCGGAGCGGTAAAGGTGGTGCAGTGGGGGGGAGGGGGCGCAAGGGAGTCGTGGCGCCGGAGTCGGTGGGGGGGCGGCGAGGGGAGGAGGGAGGGCGGTTGCCGCTGGGCGCGACTTGGTGCGTTTCGGGCAGGACCGACTGTGTGTGCGCGGAGCAGACGTGTCCCGGGCCAGGCCGGGCGGTGGAAGGAGGAGAAGGAGAGTCAAATAAAATAAGACCACCCCCCACCACCAAAAAATGGATAGAGTTAGTACGAGAAGTGCCCAGTGAAGCCAAATGACACGTCATTTTACAGTATGACCTTTTTTTCCCCTTCCAGACTTGCAGGCTTTTTCAAAAGCAGAGCGGAGAATTAATTGTAGCAGCTGCCCCCCCCACCACCAGCGCCCCCCCAACACTATTTTAATAAACCATTAAAAAAACACATTTTTCTGCTGGCTGGCCACATTGAGAGTGCTTTGTGAAAAGAAAAAAACAAAGACATTCACAAATCAGATAAAACTGGAGAATGACATTTGTCTGTAAATGGCTTCTTGGTCTGGAAATGGCGTGGTTTTTTTTTTGGGGGGGTGGGTTTGTCCTTTTCAAGGTGGGAGGGGGGATTGAGAGTGCTGTAAGGAGAAGATTTCCTCCAGGTGGGAAGAGATAAAAAGACATTAATTAGTTGTTTATCAAGTGACATTTATTTGTTTGGTTTTGGGTTTTTCTTTTTTTTTTTTTTATTGCGATTTTTCCTCTGGCAAAAAAATAAAATTAAATTTAAAAAGGTTATAAGGAGATGGCCTTTCCTCCTTTTTTTTTCCCTTAAGGTGCTGTTTTGGGGGGAAAAATTTTAAATGGCCAAAAGAATTACACAGCATTAATTAAAAATGGAAGTTTTCCACTTCCTTGATAATTTGGCTATCTGAATAAATTTGTGAATTTGCTAGGTTAAGACCTAGTTCGTGGTCACATTTCAGCAAAACAGCTTGAGTAGAAAGAAGAAAATATAAAAGGCCGTTTTTTGTTGTTGTTTTTTCCTTTGGTGGCTTTTGCTTTGCTCTTTTTGGATAGGTCATGACTTTGTTCTCCTGGGTCCAGATTTATAAAAGAAGAAAATTACTAATTAAGTGAAAATAAGTGTCTTTGATGTTTATGCATTTGCAATTTCAGTAATTAAATGGTACATGTGTTGCTGTCTTGTCTAAAACTTTTAAAGGCAGAATTATGCTGTTGGGATATTATGTGTATAACTTGATTTCAAAGTATAAATCTGGAAAAGTCTAGAATCTTTTCTGCGAATGCTATCTGAATACTAATTTAAGTCAAGTGTGATGCTAATGGTATCTTAAATTTCCAACACCTTTTGTGCTGTGATCACAAAGTCTCCACTTAATTTGAGACTGTTACTCAGAACACACCTTGCGTCACAGGGGCTAATCTAAATGTCCTAGTCTATATGACTACATTACATCATGAAGTATTGATTGCCTCTGGCCTAGGAATCTGCAGCTTAAGCCAGTGACACAACATTTTGCATTTTTCAATGGTGATTCTCACCAAATAATGCCTCCCCCCAAAAGAGGAAACCTAATAATGCCCCAAATCCTCTTTTTACTCTATCTTAATGACATAAAAATTAAGTGAATTAGAGAACTTACAATGATCTTAAAATAATTTTTCGGCCACATTTCATGAATGTGGAAACTGAGGCACGGATCTGTTTTTGCCTGTAAAAGATACGTCCTGTAACTGTTAACACAGTTTAGCACTTCTGAAATTAGAATATTAGCGATCCTGCTAAATATTACGTATTCTCTTCATGGCCTCTCTTAATAGTGCCATTTATATTTTTAATTTACCAAAGTTAGGCTCATTAAGATAGTGTTTGCTTTGAAATCAATGTTTCCGTAGAAACTAATTTTAACTTTTACAGATATTGATTATGGGCTTGTGAGAAGGCAAGTGAAGGAGGAATGCTCTGCTATCTGGGCATTAAAACAAAACAATACAATTAAAAGTTAAAAAGAAAAAGGGGTGAAAACAAACAGATTTGTGTGGAAGGAGGGCAAAATATTCACACATAGATGATCTGTTGGAGAATGTGCATCGCAAAAAAGAAGATGCAAAATAGCCATCCTCCCTCTAGCTTGATGGAAATGTGTTTTTTCCATGAAACATATATGTATTTTTACAAATGAAAGATGATTTAAAATGGAGGCATGTGTTTCTACTCTTTGAGTTGGGAAGGGCTTGGAATCCTTCAAATTCAGTAGTTCCCAGGGATAGTTTTCCTTTTGATTAAAGTTTTGTTCTTGTATTACTTTTTACTGTTACAGTTTACCTAATGCTAATAGGGTCTCAAGAACTGTATTTCATATTAAAGTGTGGTTTTTCCAGAAGATGACAGATAATTGATGGTCTCCCCTTTTCCTCAGCAACGTAGTTGTACCCAGAGGGAATTTATCTTTAGAAAGATATAGTTTGTGAGGAAAGAGGAGTATGGCTAAGTGGATAAAATGTAATGCAGTTTTAGGGGTGGATTTTTAAGTAGCCCAAGGGGTAGGAAACCTGCACAGAAAGAAGCTGCGTTGTGAAAATGTTTAGAAGGAAAGTGCTGCATCGCTACGTGATGTGGAAGAGACTGCAGCGTCTGGGCATTGTTGGGAATCCCGGGTATTTTAACCATGAAACATCTGACAACGAATTGTGTGTCTAGATACGTTTATATGTGAATGTTCATGTATCAGGGATTCAGTTTCACAGTTTTAACTTCAATTTTCTTGTTTACCCCGCAAATGACAAAATTGCGTCATTCCTTCTCTTTGCCCCTTTCCATCACCACCCCACAATTTTTTAAACAATCAAAAGAAAAAAACTAAAACCAGCAAACCCTGAATTCTTGTTTGTTATTTTGGTGGTGAAATACTGCAGGTAGACACTGAGTTGGACATTGATTTCCTTTTCTCTGCGTCGAAATGTCAAGAAAAGTTGCAAGTCTATGATTTTGTGTTTGGTTTTTTGTGTGTTGCTTCTATGGAAAAACAAAACAACAACAGCAGTCCTCCCTGCCCAAAGTGTTAAAATGCCTCCTTCATAACCTGAGACTTACTTTCGTTTTCTAGGTGCTGGAGAATCTGGTAAAAGCACCATTGTGAAGCAGATGAGGATCCTGCATGTTAATGGGTTTAATGGAGAGTAAGTGTCAAATCTGTGCAGGGGCACCAAGTAAGAGGAACAGACTTTATACTAACCTTTAGGAAGTATAGGTAGGCTTTGGGGGCTGGGCAGCCAGTTTTCACTTAATTTTTCTGGATTTACATATTAGAAAATCCTGGGAAGGGCTCTTTAGGGTCCCCCCCCCTTGGGTCTTTGGTGCAGCAAATACTACTGATGAAAGCACCAGTGTTTGTGACAAACATCTCCCTATCCCAAGAAAATCATGCCTGGTTGCGGGGGATGCTTGACAGCACTTGGCCCCGTGACAGCCCCTCTCTGGGCCAGGTCCCTGCCACAGCCTCCAGACATCACTGCAGTGTCTTCAATGTGGCTTTGGCCGCCCCCTTGTCCTGCCCATGCTGGTCACTGCAGATTCACCCCACCCCACCCCACCCCACACAGATTTCAATGTAATGAACCAACACAGGATGTTTTAGGAAACATCGTTTCCATAATATTCTCACCAGAAACAGATTTGGAAGTGGCAGCCCGTGTTTATAGTTTGTAATTTTTTTTGTCCCCCTTTAAATTACCATTATGAGCAAATCATTGTTTCTCTTTAAAACAAAAAGCAAATCAGTACCCCTGCCTAAGGAAAAGAAAAGGGAACTTTTATGTAAAGGATGGAAAGACTGGGAGTTAGGCACTCCCAGCCTCACTGAGGGGCATTTTTGCCTTTGAAAAGTCCTCCCAGGTATCCTGGTATAGTGCAGTGTGGCAGTCCGGTAGCGGGAATGAAGATTAAACGGGAGAGACTTTATATTAGACCTGTGAGACAAGTTAGGAAGCCCTGCCTGGCATGAGGAATGCAAACAGGGAGCATTCAATAAATCGGGGAACTTGCTTTTCTCCCCAAGACCCCAGATTGGGGCCTACCCATCGTTCTCAAGTGACAAAGTGTGTAAAAAACAGAAAAAAACTAAGTTGACCAGTCTATTTTCACTGGTGTGAGAGCGTTAAGCTCACTAGATTTCAAGCACCTGAAGGCACTAGTTTGTAATTACTAGCTGGTTAGCCCAGTCCTGTTCCCTTTCTTAAACCTGGATTCAATTGAAAATTTAACCTTGAGTTGCTTTGGCTTCCATTTCAAAAGGGGAGATGGAGACAAGGCGGTAGCATTTAATTATACCAATGCCTGCCCACCCCCACCCTCCCCCCCCAAAAAAACAAAACAAACAAAAAAAAACACCTTTACTAGTCACTAAGCATCCGGGAAACGAACGTGAACTTTTTCACCTTTCAGAGCAAGGCAGGCAGCTCCTTATGGTGAATTCTAGAATTTGTTAGATCAAATAATTGTTTAGAGAAGGATGACATCACCCATACAAATAGTCATGTTAGTTTAGGATGCTTTTTCTACTTTAACCCTGAATTCAGAAGGATTGGTTGGGATGCAGAAGGATGGGCTTCTTTACTCAACTGATTATGACTCTCAGTGGCTTATCAACATGCACATATGTGCTATTGAGTAAGTTAGCATCACTTGTCACCAAGCAATTCTGAAATTCTTAATTCTTGACACACCCCTCGATAAAGCCCTGCCAACGGAGACTGCCATCCTGACAATAAATAAAAACCCGGAGACAGACTTCCAACCATGAATTTTGTCATTTGAAGAAAAATCTTGCATAAATTTCCCTCCTGCAGCTTGCAGGAGTACTTCATGAGAGTAGTTAAGCAAAAATAATTTGACCACGTATCCTCTAGATAAATATTTTCATTAAAACTGGACATGGCTAGCATTTTTCAAAGATGCAGCAGCCACTATTTACCTTATTTTGAGTCGAGTAGAAGCTAAGTCACCTTTGAAATAAATTACTAACAGCTTCATTACCCTACAGATTGCCCTAAAATTTAAAAATTTTTATAGAAAGGATTCTCCTCCCTAAGTGAGCCAGCCTGTAACACCAGGCAAGGGTTTTAAACCAGAACTTCTCTTTTCTGTTTTCTTTTTGGAAAGAGGAAGCAACATTCCCAGTTTGCCTTCTCTGCAGACAAGGGCATAGATATGTTAAATTTAGCCTGTGAAAGGGTTTGCAGGGGTATTCCTCATGGGAGCCTAGATACCTTATTTTTATCTCATCCAACTGCCTCCTTTTTTCTTTTTCCTCACTGCGGTATTGCAACAAAAGCTATTTCCTTCTTAACTAGGAATTCCCTGTGACACAGTGAGATCTGTCCCTAAAGGGTGGTCTGTGTGGTACAGGGTTTTTCCTCCCTGATCTTGCGTTTTGTTAGGGCTCTGCTGAGCTATTAAATTTGCCTTAACTCTCTGCGGGCTGCCATACCGATCACATTTTTAAGATAATATTGATTTGACCTTCAGAAATACGGAGTTTGGATGTGGATTTTCTAACTCAAAGCTAACTCTTTTTCTTACATTTAGTGCCAGGAACAAAACAAAACCAAAATATAAACACCATTAACATTGGTTGAAGTAAACTGATCAATTACCAAACTGTAGAAGGCTGCCCTTCGGCCTTCAAGGAGGAATTCCTACTGTTTATGAAGATTGGGTTTGGGGTTTTTTTTTTTCTCCTTTTTCTTTTTTCTATGGTGGTAGTGGGTGGGCTTTATTTTTATTTTTTTGCTGTATCACACTCCAGACATAGTTTAATGACAATTTATGGGGAACAATTATTTATAAATAAAACCATTTTATAGGTAGTTTCCTTCCACTGCAAGAAGTGAGGTCATTAGTTTTGCAGGAAATCCTGGGCAGAAATCTCCCCCGTCTGTGCCTTTGTGCCTTAAGTTACAACATTGGGAAGGTTCTGACCTGGGAGAATTAGGAGCCTTATGCGCTGCCACATTCTCAGAAGAATTGTGAGATAAATCACTGCTTTAGCTCCCTAATGCATGTACGTTTAGTGAAAGCACAAGAAAATAATTATCCATCCCTCCTGTGTCCGACCAGAGTCTCCAGAGAGCTCTGTTAATACTGCAGCAAACGTGTGGGATTCTTCCCCCATGGCCTGCAGTCTCAGTGGACGTTCCAATTTAGCCAGAAAGGCGACCTAAGAATTAACGGGAGGATGGATGGCGCGCGAATTGTTGCTTTTGCTCTTGGCTGATTGTTTAGGAATGTAGAGAGACTGTGTGGGGTTTGTGTGAAATTGCGGTGCCTTGCAGATTAGGTGAGCTTTCAATCTCTCTTTAAAAGGGGCGGCGAAGAGGACCCGCAGGCTGCAAGGAGCAACAGCGATGGGTAGGCACATTCAAAAACAGAAAAATTTTTTAACAAACAAAACAAACATGAAGATCATACTGGGAAACTGAGGCCAGAGACCCGGGAAGAAAGTAAAAGTCATTTAAAGGACCATCAGCCATATTGGCATGCATTTGCAAATAACACACAATTTCCTGACATTTTGGAGCAAGTAAAGTGCGTAACATAATTTTTTTGGCCATGCTTAAAGTAGAATGAGATCCAGCTGGGGGAAAGTTATAGATTTCAGCTTTAGACGATCAATTTAGGATTTTGAGAATTGATGTTTTTCCATATGGTTTCTATTTTCCCCCAGCTCTCCATTTGAACCAGCTACTTGTTTTTAAAACTATCTACTAAATTCCATCTACCCACTGGTTGGTCTGATTTTAAAATTTCAGACCTCTTTGAAACAAAATTTTTTTCCTTTATTAAAATATGCAATGCTGCACCGTCTTTAATTTTGAAAAATGCCTTGGTACCTTGCAGCAGGTCGTTAAGAATCATCTTGAAAAGCCTCTGGCCTTTTAAAAATGATCAAATTTATTTGAATCTAAGGCACTTTACGTTAGCTAGTACATAAGGAAATTCATGATGGCATCTTTTATTTTTCCATTCATCATCAAATTATTTTTTCTTTGCTTCCTGCATCCCCACACCCATCACACATACACACACGCACACACATGCACATGCATACACAGACACGCACACACACGCACACGCACACACAGCCACACGCGCCGCGCGCACACACACGCATGCCAGGTAACCGCTCTAGCTCTGCTGCGTGTTTCGCATGCAGCGGTGGAGTGGCTCTTTTTCATGAGAACATCCAGAACCATTGACTTAGTTTAGGGCATCTCAAAGAAACAGCTTCTGTGGCCGGGGAGGGGAGGGGCAAAAATCTTGGGGTCTGGGGACAAAGTAACTGACACATGTTTGTTCATCTGTTTCTTTTAGAATATATTATCCCTAGATGATGGCTACAGTTTCTCATCTTCCCGGCTATGTCCTATCACAATTTGCATGCTGGAATTGCTCGGTCTTAGGAACTTCTAATAAGAATACTATTCTGTTGTCTGAGGGGGGAGGGGGGATGGGGCCCCTACTACCTTACCTTAAACGATGATTGAAAAAACGAAAAATGGACTGAAATCCTTAATTGGCAGAAATGTAGTGTGACAACTATCCAAAAAGGCATCTCTATAAGAAATGACTAATTGACAATCTACTGTACCAAAAGTTGGCATTTGAGCAAAATATGACAAGTCCTTAGTGAACAACCTACTGTGTACTAGATGTCGTGCTAAACCCTTGAACCCTACTAATACCTTGGCCTGCACATCTCTCTGACTCTGTTCTGCACGTCAATATAAGTATTAACATTCGTGAGAAATAAAAATTCTCTGCATGTTTCAGCAATCCCTGTATCTCGCGTCTGTCTTCTGTCTTCCTTTGTCTGTCTTTTCCTACCAAAGCACAAGGATAAGGTGGAGACCTGAATAGCCTCCCCCACCACTTAGTTAGCTGAAGCGGGGGAGGGGAGGAGCTCTCAAAAACTGAACGCAGCCCATCTGCTTTATACATAGAAGGGGGAGGAGGAGGCACCAAGACCCTAAAAGTACTTCCAGCCTTAGTCCCAATTTTGTAGCGAATCAGAATTCTAGCTAATGGCATATGTTTTGCCTTTGTTGAGTAGTTTAAAGACATCTAAGGAATTTTCTCTGAATTTCACAATCAACGTTAAATTCATTAAGCAATAGTAAAAGTGATGATAAACCTGCCAACCCCCAGTATAATATCTCCATCTACATAGTAATTGCTTCAATGGAAGAATTTTATGTTTTAGTATTACACACCCGAATTAGATTTTAGATTTCTATTTTAGCTGTTTTATACTTGATATACTCCCACACCTATTCACATACGTAGATGAATACTGAACACGTTCTCAAAATATCCGTATTTTAAGACGGGAAGTTTTCCAATTATCATACTACTGCTTAGACCAAAATATCAAACTGAATGAAAGAAACTTGTTTCTGGAAATACTTTTCTCTTGCTGTATGCAGATTTGGATATTTAGTACCCGAATGTATCTAATTTTACTATCGTGGAACCTCAAAACCAAAGGTTCATAGCTTTCATTACCTATGAAATGGAGCCTGCTTTTAATGAATGGGAATAGATTTCTCCTAGGGGGTTTTAGGTAAATTCTGAATTCAAAAGTGAACATTGGGGACCATCAAACACAAGTCCTTTTAATTTCCAACATCTAAATAATTGATGTTAGACTAATACCAAGGCTGGAAATTCTTAATTTCAGACATGAGCTTTGATGGTGCACACACAAAGCAGACAGTCCCACAGAATGGTCAGGACTCACTCCCTTTCACTTGAAGGTGGTTGCTTTAGGAGTCTGGGGGCCAGAATCAGATGTCAGATTTGTGCACAAGACCTGAAGCTCACCTCCCTGTCATCTGTGTTTCTGAGGTTCTCTGGACCTGCAGCACTTTTACTCAAATGGCCCTGAGGGGATTCCTGGCAACATCTGTCCTCCACCCCAACCCCAGACACCCCCCCACCACTAATGAGCATGACCCCTCTGAACTTCATCAGCTCTTCAATGTAGAAGAGCAGTGGTGCAGAGACCTGTGAAAGAGGCTTCACGTAGGAAAGGGGCGAGATGGGATCCTTCAGCAGGTGAAGGCCCAGAAGTACACAGACGTTTATTCAGAAAGAATAAATTTGCAAGTATAATTCTTTGAGAAAGGAAAGACCAAATGATTTGTGGAAGGCCTGTCGACAGGCGTGCACTTGGCCCCACCGTCCATTCCAGTCCCCCCACCCCGGGCCCGCCCCTGCTGCTCCACTGACCACCCAGTCTGCTCTTGCTAATTAACCTCCCTTCGCCTTTCCTCTGCCTTAACTTTGTCATGTTCTAGTCTGGAGGGATTATATGTTTAATTTCTACCTCCATTCTATGAATTGGTGAATCAGCCAAGTGAATGCTTCAAAAACTGGGAATCTCAAAAGATCAATATATATATGTATATGTATGTGTGTGTATATACACAGACACACACACACACACACACACACCATGAAAAAGATACTCTGTCCCCTCCATATCCCACCCCCATTGGTTTCTGCCTCCGTGACTCAAGACTTCCCCCTCTCAGCCTCAGTTTCCCCATCAGAGGAGCAGGACCGTAGCACCTTTTTTCTGCATGACGATGCCCTCACCTCCCAGGGCCTAACAGGTACAGCAGGTGTGCTGTGTGTGCTTGTTCCATTTTGGGGCTATAGACCTGATGAGACACATACTCCACACAAGAAGCCTTTTCTTGCCCCCTGAAGACATAAACTCGAGAACCTTCCCTGGCTGTGCTTCTAATGAAGGCTAGTTTCTGAAAAACATACAGCATTTGGATCAGTGTAATCTGGTACAAAAATTAACATTCTCTTGTGGTCCCCAGAAGCCAAAGGGTGTGGCCTTTACCTGTGGGACAAGTAACCCTGAATATAGATAATTCCGTAAAGACCACACAGGCCGTCCCATGTGGCTGAGTTAAAGTCAATGAAAAGCTACAAAACCTTCAACCTCTACTTGCCAGCGGGATCTGACCCCTTTCCCCTTAGATTAAAAGGCCTTCTAGGGGGTGGAATCTTACTTGATTCCTATTGCACATGGACCAACATGTACTAACATCATGAACTAGAAATTTCACTGCTGCTAGCCTGGGTGCCTGGAGCATCGCACATATGACTTTTTTTTTTTTTTTTTTTTTTTTGATAGAGTCTCACGCTGGCTGGAGTTCAGTGGCCCCATCCTGGCTCACTGCAACCTCTGCCTCCCGAGTAGCTGGGATTACAGACACATGCCACCACGCCCAGCTAATTTTTTTATGTTTTTAGTAGAGATGAGGTTTCACCATGTTGGCCAGACTGGTCTCGAACCCCTGACCTCAGGCAGTCTGCCCACCTCAGGCTCCCAAAGTGCTGGGATTACAGGCATGAGCCATCGCGCCCAGACTCCTGTAATGAACTGTTAGAACCACCACCACCTGTGCTCACTGGTTCTCTCACTATGCTCATCTAGCAACTGAGTGAATTCCAAGGCAAACCACGGGACTGTTTTGCTCCACCCCAACCTCAGAGTGACCTATCACTCCAGCCTCACCCCTACCCAGATGCTGATAAGACCAGGAGAAGCCTTTAGGAAGTGTTAGTATGTAGTGTGGGGGTTTCCAACCCATGAAAGATTAAATGAGCTGCGTGCAACTTCTGGTACAGTCAAGATTGTTCAGGCAATTTGCTAATCTGCCCGATTGGGCATGTCCTCAGGACACATTTGGGAGGTTATAATTTGCAACCACGTTTATTCAGCTACCTCCAATCTTTGTACAGATCTGAGCCCACAACTCCTTGAAGAACAGAATACTATGCTTTTTAGTCGGGATATCTTTATGAAAGCAGTACTCTTAACTGACGTGGTGCAATATGATTTTCTTTTCTTTTCAATTCCACTGCAGTGAGAAGGCAACCAAAGTGCAGGACATCAAAAACAACCTGAAAGAGGCAATCGAAGTACGTTCTGGCTCCTTGTGCTTTCTGTCTTGTAGCCCCTCCCATCCAGTGCTGTTCCCTGACCGCTCTGCTAAATCATTTTCAGACCATTGTGGCCGCCATGAGCAACCTGGTGCCCCCCGTGGAGCTGGCCAACCCTGAGAACCAGTTCAGAGTGGACTACATTCTGAGTGTGATGAACGTGCCTGACTTTGACTTCCCTCCCGTAAGCTACACCCCAACTTGTGTGGCCTTAGCCCCGCCCACCTGAGCACAGTGTTCCTATAGGAACGTCAGTGACAGCCCTGCATGTGGGCAAGAAAAAAGTTCTGAGCTACGGCAGGCTTAATTATTCCCTCATTCACTTCTTAGGACGAACAAAACTATTTTAAATATGGCACACAAATACTAATTGTCCATTTACTCCACTGGAAGTGCCCTAAGGTGTACCTTGGGATGCCTCAGTGAAGTGCCAAATGGAAGACATTCTCATTTTAAACAGGTGACCTTTTAACATTGATTAAGAGTTTTTCTAAAGCCAGTCCTTGTCTCGGGGCAAATGAAATCTTTTCTCATTATTTAAAAAAATGAAATATATCTAAATTATAACTCAAAAATAATCATGAAATAGAACATATGGAAAAGACTTTCCTCTGGATGCACGACACTGTTGGCTCCCTAAAGAACTACTTTTAGGGAACAAAAAACCATTCAAGCCCAAGCATATATGGTTAGGCCCCTTCGTGGGGAGAATGGCTTATAAGCGGGGAATGGGAAATGAGATAGAAAGATGTATGCGTTTGTAAGGCCCACAAGGAAGAGACTTGTCTACAGCTAAAACAATGAGTTATTGTTGCCTTTTGTCAGGCTTTCGTGGGAATTTGTGTTTGTATATTTTAGATCGACTTGGCTGCAAACTTACATTAGCAGAGAAATTAGTAGTATTTAGTTAGTATGGATAGCTAAATTTTTTTAAATAGCATCATTTTGAAAAAATTAAAGCAGTAAACACAGTATGTATAATATAACCCACTGACTTTCTTATGATTCCATATTTAATAGGAAAAACAGCAGCCTATTAAAAATGTATCCGAACAGTAACCTTTTATTAGTCCTACTAACATCTGAACTTTTATGTTCCCACCTACAAGTCCCCTATCATACTTTTTTTTGTTAAGATTCACATTTTCCCAGAAGGAAGATTTAGTCCCGGCACATCCTACAAATGAAGTTTCTTATTTTCACAACATTGAACCATTTATTGGCATATTCGCCTAACACAGATTAGTGTATATTCTTCCTAAACAATTCTGTAAAGAAACTAAATTACTCAGTAGCTCCCCCCATTCCCCCCCCACACACAAAAAGAAACTACCCAAAACCAGTAATTCACAATAAGACCAGCAGCTAATTGCATGAACTTTTGAATATGTTTAACGTGTTGAATTAAAGTTCTTTGTGAGCATTAATTCATTAATTGGGCTCAAAATTCAGAATCACACCAAGCGTCGGTCACATAGGGAACTCTGGTCTCGGGGTTCGAATGACAGTGTCCTTGATTAGTTCAAGTTCTTGTCTTTCTCTAAACTTTCTTGTGTTCACTTTCAGGAATTCTACGAGCATGCCAAGGCTCTGTGGGAGGACGAAGGAGTACGTGCCTGCTATGAACGCTCCAACGAGTACCAGCTGATTGACTGTGCCCAGTAGTAAGTAACCCCACCCGACCCACCGGCACATAAAACAGGCAGACACAAGAAAACATGCAAACCTGTGATCCTGCTTGGAAAGCTACTTGTCGATGATTCCTTTCGTAGAAGCCAACCAGTTACCCCACTGGCAGAAAGTTCGAATCTGATTGAATTGTTTTATAAAGTCCTTAATTGCATTTTTTTTTTTTTTTTTTAGTGCAGGGACATTATTTTATATAAACATTGAATGTCTGTTAGAGCAAGATGATGATGAGTTTCATAGTATTCCTAATTACTGGGAAGTAATTAATTGAATGACTCAAAGCATTTACAGAAATAGGGCAGTTCTCACATTTTGAATAATGTAAAAATACTACATTTTATTGCTGTAATTTTAAAACATAACAAAGAGGAACAGTGAAGACAGCTACGCCTCCTCTCTCACTGGTAGTTGTTGATTGCTCTATTTCTGCTCTCAGGTAAGAGACTCCAGTAGCTGCCTAGTGTTACTAGATCTGAGTGACTCTAGGTAGAGTTTGCTTTTGTGTTGTCTTGACTTTTGAACTCTATTTCATGTCCTTATTTATTCCTTCCCCCCGGCTCTTGATTTCAAGGATGGTAAGTGGTCAGTGTATTTTAAATCCTAAACTGTACACCTAAGCAGTACAGTACCGTGGTGGGGTCATTTTCAAATAAATTACTACCTGCAAGGAGGATGGGTTAAGGCCTGCAGTAGCAATGGGAAAGTCCTCTTTCTCCAAAGTCACTCATAAAGGTGGGCTCGCCTGATTAGTGTGTTGGTAAATGAAGAAGGGGGAAACTTACGAAACAGATTTTATTGCACAACTCCACCTGATGCCCACGCTGCTACTCTTGTTGCCTAACACCTGACTTACCGTTCCCTCAGGGATTGCCTTCTGTCCCTGTCACCCACCATGGTCTCTCCCAGAGGACATCACACCCCATAGCTAGAAAGTTGCCTTTTAAATAGTTTATGGCCTCCCTCATCTTGCACATGATATAGCAAGCATATGGTGGTCAGGGTTATTTAAAAAATATGTAAAGATAATTATTATTATTATTATTTAGATGGAGTCTCACTCTGTTGCCCAGGCTGGAGTGCAGTGGTGCAGTCTTGGCTCACTGCAACCTCTGCCTCCTGGGTTCAAGTGATTCTCCTGCCTCAGCCTCCTGAGTAGCTGGGACTACAGGTGCCCGCCACCACACCCAGCTCATTTTTGTATTTTTAGTAGAGATGGGGTTTCACCATATTGGCCAGGCTGGTCTCGAACTCCTGACCTTGTGATCTGCCTGCCTTGGCCCCCCAAAGTGCTGGAATTAGAGGCGTGAGCCACCGCGCCCAGCCAAAAATGTAAAGATATCTTTTGTTTGTTGATGCTGCACAAATGCACAAAGCAGTCTCAGTTAATATTATGAAGTAGGAGTGTCTTGTGACTCGGGACAGGGGAGTCTAGTAGAGGTTTGATGTTTTAGCTGTCCTTATTACAAGTAGCTGAAACTCGGAACTGATTTTGCTATAGGAAGTATTAACTAATCAGAACCAAGGTGCCAGGCTGACTCACCAAGGGCTAAGATTGCTTTACTTAGTAGCCTCAAGCCCAAGGAACTGATTGTGAAAACCACCTGAATAAACAGGAGGGAGGAAGAGGTAATACTGTTTATCTATAAACCATATAAGCCTATGTTAGGGTCTGTGCAATCTATCAACCCCAGCCCTGCCTTCCCATAGGAAATTCCTTTGATTATTTTCAGTTGCCACATACACAGATATTCCACGGTTTAATATACAAGCAAATTTGTATATTTTTTCAAGGAACAGAAAAACAGTCCATCTTGGCTGGTCCCTGTGGCCCCCAGCCCCCACTCCTTCTTCAACAAAGTCCCTGATTTTCTCAAAAGTTCGAACTAAAAGCTGGAAGCGCTAATTATAGTAACGCAAAACAAATGGAAATCCTGGAATTGTTTGCATTTTGTATTTTGGATCCAAGTCAGAAGTGAAGTACAGGTACAAGATTAGGAGAGTTTAACCATCCCAGTTTTGAATGCTGGGGGGCAGGGAGTCACAGCTGCATTAATTAACAGTAGCTTAGCCAGGTGGTTGAAGTTTGTTGGGTTTCATTTTCTCTCTCAAATCATTTAGAAGTTTTTGGGGTTTTTTAATGCAACACTCAATTACTCCTGAAACTTTGTCTGAAAACTGCACCATTTGTATAGATCATGAAAAGTTGTAAGGAAACTCAGAGAAAAAGAGAACAACGCAGCTTAAAACCTTTAAAATGTCCTCCCTCACCGCTGGCTCAAACAGCCCTGCATCTGCCGTGGCCGGCACGTTTCTGTTGAACTGCCTTTATGTTAAAGTTGGGATACTGGTACCGTGCCCATTTCTTAAGCTGCCTATTTTTATTTGTTGAGCTGGGGTTTGGCTGGCTCCACTCCAGATGTCTCTCTCACAAGATTTGGTGCTGATGATCTATTTATAGAACTGTGGTTCTGTTGCCATGGTAACATGCTGGAGGCCAGGGCGGCTGGGGAGCTATTTCTGGACTGGTGCTGTAATGTAAGATTGATTGGGCAAGTTAGTATATCCTCTAAGCCAGACTAACCCTGAACTAGTAAAAAGGAAGAGGGGAACACAAAACTTAGGCAGTTTCTTGAAACAGACTTTTCTCTCTTTATGATTTTCTTTTCTCATTAGCCCACTTTAAAACAATTCCAATCTCTACATGCCTCTCCCTCCAAAAAATAAACTGGTTTTAGCATTTTCTGTATTAATTAAATTACCCCAATCTTTCAAAAGTAAATTTTCCTGTGTGTCTAGTCAAGCAACACAAACAAGATGCTTTTTAAATGAAAAGTTTAATATCTGGAGCGTTCTATTTCATGGACCAAACAGAACGGAAGAGAACTTTGTGTTTGTTTCCTGTTCAGGATGGCTAGGGCGAGAAGGCCCCTTTGTGCCAACCTCTTTTGTTCCCTTTAATCAATGAGATTCTTAAAAAGTGAAAAGGAAGGGCTACAGATTCTCAGTAACTAAAACAATCTCATGTGCCCTTGAGGAGAAAGTCCTTGATGTTTTTAAGAATGTCACTTTATTTATTTATTTTTTTAACTGAATGATACAGAGGTATACAATTTTCAAACTGCCATTTTAGGCAGGAAATTTGAAAATTGAAATGTTTTTGTCAAGCATTACCAAATGGCACAGATTGTGATAGGTCAGCCTGGTTTTGGGGTCCTTTCTCTACTGGTTGATATGCATAAAACCTTTTAAAAATCAAGAATATTACCAGAGAGCAACAGGAATAAACAAGCTAAGTAAAGAAGAAAAAAGAAAAATAGAAAAAAATAAACATGAAGAACAAAGCCCCACCACTGTCCTGTGCTGTTTGTGTGGCCCCACTGCACCGAGGCCGCAGGCTAGCTGCTAGACGCATCTAGAGTTCCCTGATTCCTAAAATTATTTATCTTAAATCCCATTTGGCCTAACTTTCTTAAGGCATCAGCTTTGAGTTATAAATGTAACCAACACACAAGCAAATATGCCATTGACTTAGTGCTGCATAACTGTGGGACGGTCACTTCCGTTGAGCCTGACCTTGTAGAGAGACACAAATAGTTGGCAAATTAATGTGAACGCTGTGAACACCCCATGTGCCTTTCTTTTTCTCCCAGCTTCCTGGACAAGATCGATGTGATCAAGCAGGCTGACTATGTGCCGAGCGACCAGGTGTGCAAAACCCTTCACCACCAGAGGACCCTGAGCCCTCTTCCCAAACTACCCCAGACTTTTGCTTTAGATTGGAAATTATTACTATTTCGATTGGCTTTGCTGAGATCCATTGACCTCAATTTTGTTCTAGGACCTGCTTCGCTGCCGCGTCCTGACTTCTGGAATCTTCGAGACCAAGTTCCAGGTGGACAAAGTCAACTTCCAGTAAGCCCACTGTTACCTTTTTATATAACAGAGATCATGGTTTCTTGACATTTACCCCAGCCCCTCTGGAATAACCAGCTGTCTTCCTCTCCACCAGCATGTTTGACGTGGGTGGCCAGCGCGATGAACGCCGCAAGTGGATCCAGTGCTTCAATGGTAGGACGCTGTGGGCTTGGCTGTTCGTGAAGAACGCTTTGCTTCTGTGTTGTTAGGGATCAGTGTCGCTGCTCACGCTCTTGGCTTTGCTTTCTTTGGTTAAGATGTGACTGCCATCATCTTCGTGGTGGCCAGCAGCAGCTACAACATGGTCATCCGGGAGGACAACCAGACCAACCGCCTGCAGGAGGCTCTGAACCTCTTCAAGAGCATCTGGAACAACAGGTTTGTGGAGTGACCGCCCACCCCCTGCGCTTGCCCAGGAGGCCCTGGTCTGCACTGTTTGTAGAAAAGAACCCTGTGCAAGCATTCCAGACCCCTGGCCAAAAGCGCGCTTCTCCCGGGCATTCACACGGCCTCCCTTCTTGTAGATGGCTGCGCACCATCTCTGTGATTCTGTTCCTCAACAAGCAAGATCTGCTCGCTGAGAAAGTCCTTGCTGGGAAATCGAAGATTGAGGACTACTTTCCAGAATTTGCTCGCTACACTACTCCTGAGGATGGTGTGTATGGCTTCCACTCTTTTGCTGGCTGTTCATTGCAGTGGTTCTTTTTCAAACAGTAGGGCTGAAAGCCGCCATCCCCCTCCCACCACCAAACCATAAAGCATCTGTAAGAGAAGCAAGAAAAACACACTTGCATTAATTCTCATATGGAAAAATCAGGGTTTTGAAGACTTCAGGAGCTACAATGATGCTAGCACCCCAGCTCTGCTTGACTTTTTAATTACATTAATATATATTCCCTTTTTTTTATAGCTACTCCCGAGCCCGGAGAGGACCCACGCGTGACCCGGGCCAAGTACTTCATTCGAGATGAGTTTCTGGTGAGTTGAGCCTGTCTTTAGTTTCCTCTC